CAGCAGGAAGACTGAAATGGGTTGATATGAGACAGATTGCTTGGGAAGAAAGAATGGGAATGTAGGGTAGAAATGGGGAGGACAAATCTGCTTCTGTCTGTCCTCCTCCCTAGGTGGTGGCCTGATTATCAAGATCCTGAAGCGCACAGCAGTGTTTGTGGAGGGGGGAGGTGAAGCAGGTCCCCCACCAGCCCAGGCCATGAAACTCAACATGCCCCGAAAGACCCGGCTTTATGTGGATCAGACACTGCGAGAGCGGGAAGCTGGCACCGGTGAGATTCAGGCTGGCTCCTTCCTCTTCCTCCTCCCTTGCGCCAAAGCAGCAGGAACTGGGTGAATGCCACCTGGGTGCCCTGAGCAGTGGGAGGAGACCTGAGTGAACTGGGTGGGTCTCATGCCCCTGGAAGCCCAGAGACAGCCCAGGAGGTACACCCTGCCAACAAAGAGCTACAGCTCAAGGTGGAAGGTGCTGTGGGTGAGGGCGAGAGCCCTTAGAATTCGAGGAGGGAGCAGCCACTTTTAGATGGAGGAATTCTCATGAGAGAAGTAGAATCTGATCGAGGTTCTTCCTTATCCTATTTGATTTTCCTCCTCTTTTTGTTCACGTATTCATTCATTCACTTAATACCTATGATTATGCCAGGCCTTGTGCCAGGTGCCTAGAGTTGGGCCAGTCCCTACCTGAAGAGCTCAGTGGGCCTCGCTGACTTCACGTTGCATGACGGGTGTAGAATAAGTCTCTGCGGAGGGCTGTGGAGACACACGAGGGAGTGTGTTTGCCTGGGAGCTGGGAAAGGCTTCAGAGAGAGATGATACTGGATTTGACCCCAAAAGATGATTATAAGCCTACCAGCCAGAGCGGGAGAGGGGAGGGCGATTTAGGAAGAGGCTTGGGAAAAGGCACAGGGCCCTACCTGGATCTAAGCAGCATCTGCCATGTAGCTGCGGGTGCAGTGCAGGAAGGCTCAGTGGCCAGTGGGGAGGCAAGAAAAGCAGGTCAGCTGGCTCCGAAAGGGTCTGGAATGCAAAGTTAAGATGTTTTGGTTTATTCCGTGTAGTGGAGAGAGGGGAAGGATGTTAAGCAGAAAAATAGAGTAACTCAACCCCTTCTGTCTTTGAAAGGAATCTGGCTTACAGTTTAAAGGATAAATTACAGGATAAAGAAAATAGCTAGCAGGCTGTTGTAGCCTAGAGAACCCAAGAGAAGCAGCTGATATATTAGAGAAATAATTAGGAAGTTCTCTAAGGTATAATGAAAATAGCAAGAATCAATAGCTTTTGTTTATACCAACAGTATCCAGTTAGAAAAGAGAAAGTTTCCATTCACAATAGCAAAGAAATCCTTAGACGTAAACTTAACAAGAAAACATACAAAGTCTAATAAAGAAAATTATAAAACTGCTTTAAAGAACAGGAAAGACCACCTGAATATTTAAATGATGAGACTTACCAAGTCTCAGGGTAGTAAGATCTAAAGTTGTAAAGCTGTTGATTAGTTATCAGCTTCTGAAATTAATCTAGAATCATAGCAAAGTTACAGTTAAAATCCCAATGGGTTTTATTTTGAGGACTTGACCAGTTGATTCTAAGAGTAAATCTAAGAAGTTTGGGGAAAATAAGAATGAGGAGACTCAGCCTATCAGATAGCAGAATGAACTATGAAGCTGTAGGAATTAACAGCTGTGGCATCAGTATGGGAATTGATACAGCTCAGTGGCACGTTTAGGAAGTCCAGAAACAGACCCTTGTACGCGTGGAAAGTCAGTATATGATAGATGTGTCATCTCAAATTAGTGGGGGAAGGAGATACTGTCCAAAAAACATAATTAGGACAACTTGTTTCTAGAAAAAAAGTTAGAATTCTACCTCATACCAAACACAAAAGTTAATTCTGGGTAAATTAAAAATAAACTGTGAAAGTATTAGAGGAAAAAGGACAGATGAAAGGATGGGGTAACATAAAAATGAAAGCTTCTGAATGGCAGAAGGCTGCTCGCAGGCACAAGGAACAGGGACAGACTGGCTGACCAAGGTGCTCAGTCTGGAAAGTAGGGACAGTGGGATGGAGGGGAGGGAGTGGGCTCTGGAGAGGCCCTGAGGAAGAGTCATCCGACCTTGGCAAATGATTAGCTGCGAGGGGTGAACCTGGGTGACTTGATGGATGGGGATGCAGTGACGGAGTTAGGGAAATGAGGTTGCTTTCCGCAGCGTTGAGCTCCAGGGGTTGATGGGACGTCCAGGTGGAGGTGCCCATCAGGCAGTTGGAAGCAGCAGGCAGGCCGGGCGCCGAGCTGCCCAAGATGAGTGCACAGTACCAGGTGCAGACGCGGGCCGGACCCTGATGCACCCCTGCCCTCAGGAGCTCGCGGTTGTTCCTCTTTGGGGTGGTCACAGCCGGGGCAGGACATGGATGGGGCAGCAAGGAAGACAGAGGATGAGAAGAAGACCGAGGACAAAACTCAAGGGAACCCCAGCTCTTACTAGAAGGAGCCAGCAAAGGAGGCTGCGGTTGTGTGGGCAGGCAGGTGGTGGGAGAACCAGGAAGGAGGAGCAGGGAGTGGTCCGCAGCATCCAGTGTCACCAGAGGCTGGCTGTGGGACCTCAGTCCTCCTGTTGCCCATGTTCCCAGCCTCTGCCCACTGTGCCTTCCTCTCGCACTCTCTCCACGGCCGCCTGAGCAGCACCTTCTCCCCCAGCCCTGCCCCCTCCTCCCGCCTCACATCCAGCATGCTCACATCCAGCATCGGCCCTTTGTGTGCCTCCTCAGCCATGCACCGGACCTTCCAGGCAGACCTCTACCTGCTGCGCCTCCGGGCCGCCCGTGCCTACGCGCAGGCCCTCGAGTCCAGCCTGAGCCCCGTGTCTGCAACGGCGCGGGAGCCGCTCAAGCTGCACGCTGTGGTGAGCACCCACGTGGCGGGGGGCATCAGGCCACCTCAGGGCCAGAAGGGCAGAGGTCAGGGCTGGGCGGGCACCCCTCGGCCCAGGAGCGGATCCCAAGGCAACTAGGCCCCGTGCCCCTTCTCATCTTCCCACAGGCACAGGGCCCAAGTCTCATGTCCTCCTCTGTGAGAGCGCTCTCACCTCTTTCCTGTGCCGCCTCTTCCCCTTGGCTGGCCGCAGAGTGGGGCACGCTCTCCAGCCCCCTCATTCCATGCGGTGCCTCAGACGAGCCCCCAGACTTGGGGCAGGGCACACAGGTAGTCACCTTGGGCTGTTTCTTCCCAGGAGCCTTGAGAGACTCTTACAGCTGTGGTACAGGGAAGAAACCTGTTCATTTCGGTAACTGCCGGCAGCCCAAGGAGTTGGGACTGCCCAGTACTGGGAAGGGGCCATTCTGAGACTTACACTGGCACAGGGAGGATGAGGGCCCCTTGTACTCAGACACAAGTGACCTCAAGGTCGTCAGGGCTCCAGCCGGCTCTGAATGGGTCCCTGAGGTGTGCTGTCTGATCCAACTGGGCTTCTGATATCTCTTTCCCTAAAGAAAGTGGATAGATACAGAGAGGAAGCGGCTGCAGAGCAGTCGAGGATAAGAGGGAGGAAAGTGAAATCCTTGCAGCCACTAGAGGACGAGAGGAGGAGGTGGGCCAGGCCCTGCGAAGAGCGGGGTGGGGCAGGGCGCGGACACAGGTGGGAGCCAGGGCCGGCTTCCCCAGGCCAGCTGTGCCTCCGACCAACTTGCTGAGTGGCCTCGGTCCGGCCCCTTCTCCGCTCTGGGCTTTTGCTCATCCCTTGCACACAGAGCCAAGCTTCTGAGCTCCGTGCCTTTTGAGGGGCGGATGGACAGTGCGTTAGAGTGGTTCGAGGAAGGTGACTTGAGGGCGCTGATGGGGGAGCGGGCGGCAGGGCCGTTGTAGGCCGTATTCGGCCCCCAAGGCCACTAGGTCCTATGGGCTTTCTCCCCACCCCACCCTCTGCACAGGTTCAGGGCCTGGGCCCCACCTTTAAGCTCACCCTTCACCTGCAGAACATCTCAACAGCCCGACCCATCCTGGGGCTGCTGGTCTGCTTCCTGTACAACGAGGGGCTCTATGCTCTGCCCCGGGCCTTCTTCAAGGTACTGGACCCACCTTACTGAGACCTGGAGTGAGAAAGGGTGGGTAGGGCCGGATTAGATGTCCGCAGGTCAGAGGTGAGGGAGCTGGCAAGTGGCTACAGCCACAGACCAGACTAGGGTGCAGCAGGGACCCTGGGGAGAGCCCCCAAGACCTGCCTCAGCTGCTTTTCTCCCAGCCTGTGAGAGGTCTCAGGGAGGCACACCGAAGGTTCTGGGAGAACAGTGAGAGTCCAGGCCTCACCGGTGCTGCTCTCAGAAGCCTGTTGGTGCTCTGGGGTCCCAGAACCCACCCTGTTTTCCA